CACATGCTCCCAGGATTTCTGGGTGAAATTTCCACTTTTAAATTTGTGCCACTTGAGGCAATTAGTATTATAATAATAAAGCTAAGTTTCTGTTGAGCTGCTGACCTGGACACCCATACTGCCCAGTTTGTGATGAATACTGCAATTTGTTATCTTTTTAGGAAAACTCTTTGCATAAGCATTTAGCTTCTTACCTTTCCTGCACAATTGGATTTATTTTTATGAATATATGCAGGTAAAGATGTTTATACAGTATATATGTATGTAAGCATTTGTGTTCAAATCAATGTACTGTATTTCAATATGCAAATGCAAAACAGATTTAATGAAACCAAAAATATCATGACTCCTATAATGTGCTGTAATATCTACTGACCAAACAAACACCAGAAGACCATTGCACGTTTTCCAACATTATGGAATTAGATCATTAAACAATGGACAGACATTAAAACACCACCCACTGCGGTGGGGTTTTAAGCAATCAAAAAGAAAAATGTGCTTTAATGTGCCAGGATACAGTGTGTTATCACATGCTGGGTGACATTCAAAAGGCTTGCATCCATAATGTTTTGTGGAGCAGCAGTTTTCTCTGTTTACTCATATATTTAAAGTTGAAATGTGTAGCACTGTCTTATTAATACATCACTGTCAAAAAAAACCCAGTCTGTTCCCCATGGCTGCTATTTCTTCATCCAACAGTCATCTACTGGGCTACACAGTTTTCTAAACATCTAGATGTGATTTTGTTCTATTAATTCTACTGTTTTGTTGTAACTGTGGTCCTGGATAGTCATTTAAAAACTTTTAGATCAAGAGAGATCAAAGATTTTTATTCATTATATGTGCAGGACATACAGAAAATCAAAATACCATTTCTCTCTCACCTAGTATTGAATGCCATAGCATTTAGGAAACTAAAATAGAATAAAAGTAGAATAAAAATAGACTAAAAAGAATAAGAAAACTAAGTCAAAGTGATTGGGATAAAAACTAAACGGTACAACCTAATAGGCTATGACTCAAACCATGTACAATCAGTGACAGTAGTGCAAATAATAAGAAGATTGTCAGGGGCGGGGGTAACTGTGGTTCAGTGGGTAAAGCCAGCTGGAGGGTCAGAGGTTTGAATCACGGTGCCTGCAGTCCACATGTTGAAGTGTCCTTGGGCAAGACACTGAACCCCCAAGTTGCCCCTGATGGTTAGTTGGCACTGCAGATGGCTGCCTCGGTTCTGTACCGGAAACAAATTCCTTGTGTGTAACATACTTGGCCAATAAAGGTGGTTATCCTTATCCTTTAAGATTGAGGCTCAAAGTAGGAAGAAAACATCAAAAGAAATTGAAACTGCTTTTGTATTATAAGACTATATACAGTATATATCTATTAACACATAGGTTTGTTATGGTTTTGTTCACACACTGTATGTCCTACTCTGTGATCATCTGGGACAGTGTTTAGCATCCTCACAGCCTGGTGGATGAAGCTGTTTGTAAGTCTGGTGGAGTGGGCCTGAAGACTCGGATACCTTCTTCCTGAAGGCAGGAGTCTGACGTGGGAGTGTGCGGGGTGGGAGGTGTCATCAGCAATGATGATGGCTCTGCAGGTGAGGCGGGTGTTGAAGATGTCCATAAGGAAAGGTAGAGGGGCACTGATGATCTTGCTGGCTGTTTTCACTATGCGTTGCAGGGTCCTTCTGCAGGAGGCAGTACAGCCTCTGTACCACTTAGTGATGATGCTCTGTGGTGCACAGGTAGAGTGCATAATGGGGGGTGGGACACTGTTTCTCCTCAGTTTGCAGAGGAAGTAGAGGTGTGTTTGAGCCTTCTTGGCCAGTGATGTGGTGTTGTTGGTCCAGGAGAGGTCCTCAGAGATGTGCAGCCCCAGGAACATGGTGCTGCTCACTCTCTCCACTACAGCACCGTTGATGGTCAGTGGTAGATGCTTTAGAGGTTTTCTCCTGAAGGTCCACAATGATCTCTTTAGTCTCTTTAGATCTCTTCCATTTGGCACACCTCACTCCTGTAGTTGGCCTAATCATTGTTGGTAATGAGGCCAACTACAGTTATGTCATCCACAAACTTGACAATGTGGTTGGTGCTGTAGGTTGGCACACAGTCGTAGGTCAGCAGTGTGAACAGCAATGGGCTGAGTACACACCCCTGCGGAGCCCCTGTGTTAATTTGTTCTTAAAAGAAAACAAACAAGACTCTTCCTTTTACAATGGCTGTAATAAGCTTTCATTTCAATTCACGATGATACAGACTACATAGTTTTCCAGGAAAGAAACAAATGCTTTTCCTTGTAATTTGATCAGAAAAACATTTAAAAAGCAAGCGATTTGAAGGGCAAACTACTGACAGATTAAAACACACACAGTGTAGTGCTAAACGCTGTTGTAAAATTGACATTAGTTGTGAAAATCTATACCATTTTTGTGTGTATGTAAATGTTTCTGTCCTTATCTGTGAGCAGCTTGTGTTCTAAGGAACAGCAGTATTGATCGTAGGCTGTGCTCTCAATGCTCATGCATCAGTTTTAGCTCTGGCACCATTGACATTTAACTGAAAAGAGGAAGGGGAAAGCATGTTGATTACCCGCATGGGAGACGGCAAGCACACACCGTGGTCATGACCCGCAGCTACATCAAATGTACCCTCTGCTTCCCTGCTCATTCTGTTCATTTATACGCAGTCAGATGACTTAATGTATATGTGTCGCTCATCAACATCAAGCATTCCTTTAGAGGCAGTCCTCAGAGCATCACTGGCATTTAAATCCTGTGGAGCAATTAATATTTGATGTTTTCATTTGAGCCTGTCCTTCCATAGGAGGATGCCCTATAGATCAGACTGTTTTAAAGAGGTGATTTTTGATGTCTTGTGACAGGAGATGAGTTGATGGTTGGGGTTAATTCAAGTGAGAGCACTCTGGGGATTTTGTGCGCATTGAAAGTCAGTGTGTAAACGTGGTCAGCTGAGTGAAGAGCCTGCCTTACTGGAATCCATCAGGATTCCTGTGTCCTTGAAATAATAATACACACTGAAGGGACATACTGTTTTCTGGAAGAGTCAGCGCAGCCTGTGTCAGTCAGGGTTTATGGATTTAGTGAAGCTCCTTTTGTTACACATGTGCTAGATTTTTCATCATGACTGATGACCGAAATAATTCCATTACTTACTCTGAAAAGAGAGTAGTTGTTAGGCTGATGATATTATTGTTTTTTTTTGTTTTTTTTTGAGGCACAGTAATTTTTTTTTCACCAGAGCTTAAAAAAAAAAAAAGTTAACGGGTTGCTATCATTCGTTTTATTGGACAAAGTCCCACCAAACCAATATTTTGAATTTTGCGCTGCATTTTTGCTTGTGATAATGGTTGTGGCTTCAATCATGGGAAAAGAGCCAATGTTTCTGTCATGTTTCTTAACTCCTTTAGAAAAGTCCATCTATAGCGATTTATTCTTGAATAGCATCATGGGGGCTGCAGCCAATCCTAGCTGACACTGAGCAAGAGGTGGGGTCCACCCTGAACAGATCGCCAGTCTATCTTTTAGAAAAATACTTGTTAAAGTATGAAGGGCTATAGAAAATATTGTAGCTACTCTGTCCACAATTGGGAAATCATGAGCAACTTATCATCCATAATCATGCTCAAAAGACAAAAATGCTATTAACCTTTCATAAAAACCTGCAACAGAAGTCTTTTATTTTGCATTTTACCCCTGGGTTTTCTGGAGCATTGAATGAACTTTTAAAATCTATAAATGTGTTCCTTTTACATCATTTACAGTGATTTTGAGCAGGTTGTATACACTGGAATCAGTCCTCTTCTCAGTAACATTTTGATGAATATGCAGAAAAAAGACTGATACCACTCTCAGTTCCTCTTGTTACCAGTGTGTAAGCTAAGCTCCAAACAGCAGCTGGCTAACTTAACAAAAAGATAGGAAACAAGCCTGACTCTGTCGAGTACCAGTGACAGACTCAGTGGTGACCCTGCTCTCCCTCTGACCTCACATTTTGTTTAAAAAATATACTTAAGCTGTCGGCTGTGTATGAAGAACTTTGAGGGAATGTGTCAAGCCACTCTGTCCTTCAGCTCTGAGGCAACAAGTCTGATCCTCATTTTTCAATTTATGCTCCAAAGATGTAAATGTAAAAACCTTTAAAGTCCTGTGACAAGACACTTATTTTAGCTTTTAATCCTCATAAGGTTTTGATCAATGAATTATATGAAACACTGGATACATTAAAAAAAGTATAAAGTTTATCTACAAATATGAAAATGGAAACAAAACCAAATGACAGCACATACACATGCACGCATTTTTTTCATTACCTGAGGAACCATACAATACAGAGGAGCTGATTAGGGTTGCAGACAAAAGGACAGTAGGCTCCAGCTGCCTCTCTGAATTCATTGTCATTAGCAGTGGAACGCCAACTTCTTTCCAAACTCATTAGTTGATAAAACAACCCTCTGATCTTCCATTTTAAAAACCTCATTTGTCCTCCCTCACTGGTGAGTCTCCCACCCACTGCATCCCTGCCTCTACACCTCCGAAGCCACTCCTGAGATTGGGAAAGAAATTGTTTTGGCCTCGATTCCTCTCTGGTAATGCGAGTGTATTGTTTCCTGGCTAACAGTCAGAGCCATGATAACCGAAGCTTTACAAAGACCTAGAACCACTGATGTGAACTGATTACTGATTTTGCCTCTGCAGCATTTAAAATTGTTGAATCGAGTTTTTCCTGTCCCCTCTTGGGATTTGGAGCTGGTGGAGTCTATTAAAGCACTCCAATATTAAAGCAGTTGTCTGCGATATAGTTTTACTGGGCTGAACATGTGTACTTGAAAATGCCCCACTGTACATGATTCCTGCATCCTTTTTTTTTAAATAATAAACCTTAATTTCAAGTTAGAGTAGAAAAATAATTTGATTTCCTGGCAGAATAACAATTTATTGAAATTTAGACAAAAGGAAATACATATTTGTGCTTTCTGCAGTTTAATGAACGGCTTTATTTATATACAATTTATACATTTGTGTGTGTGTGTGTGTGTTTGTGTGTACACATATATATATAAATCTCTGTTACAAGTAACTAAATTGAATTATCACCACTTAATATTCATAAATATCCATCCATTCCAGCCTTTGGACCCATTTGATAATCTAAAGGTGTAAGAAAAACATTTTAAATTTGCTTTTTCAAAAACATTCATTGAAAGATGCGTAGTGTCAAAATTCAAGTCAGTATGTATTATCCAACCAGGATCAACGTGAGCTTCTCTGAACTCTTACCTCAAACACGGGTCATGAGCTCGCAAGTGCCGGCAGTGTTTTGTCTCTGTAATCCAGATGAATCAAACCAAGACCGATACGAGAGGGCAATAACAACACCGATCGGAATCCATGCAGCTTACCCTCATCTTTCTTCTCAATTGCTCCCATCTGAGGTCCTGAAGACGCACTTCAGCACAAAGTTTTTAGCAATGGTTTAAAAAATTGAATCTGCTTTTTGACACATTTCCTCATTTGACAGGCAGTTTTGGTTCGGGGGGGGGGACCCTAAAACATCGTAACTGTAATCGACAAAGTGCACTTTACAAATTTGCATGGATGTCCTCGTGTCGCAACACTTTATAAGTGACCCAGTAGAAAATGTTGAATATAAGGAAGCTCAAGGGAAAGACTGCTCTGGATATGGTGTCAATACGCTTGGCCCGGTCCACAAAACGCTTGTGAAGTACCTCTCCATCAAAGATTGTAACTGGAGGTGGATGGGTGAACATAGTGGCCCCTTCCACAGTGGTTACACCCTTGGTCTGCAGGCAGTGACCTAATCCATAACCCCGGAAGTAAAAACCACGACTCTCCCTCACCAGTTCCTCCTCCTGTGGAGTCAAGCATAGGGAAAACAGATTGCCTCACACTGTCAACAAGAATTAGCTTACAGCTTGTTACATTTCCTCTCAATGGCTGATTCCCAAAAGCATTGTGGGTGTAGCAACACAAAAGGGCAGCAGAGTGCAACAGACTGGGAACATCCACAGAAAAAAGAAGCACAGGCCGCCACTGAAAAATGAGAAATTTGACTTCAGGGATAAGCTTTTTAAATAGAGTAGATGATTTGTCAGTGACTGCGTGTTGAACAGGCACCAAGCCTAGTTTGTGTATCTCATGCATGTCTATTACATATGCATCGTAGAGCTTCAGTATGCAGCTATTCATCTGAAAAAGACTCACCAGGCAATGTTTGGAAAAACCCAGATGACAACATTTTACCATCGTTCTGACAGTCTTTTCAAAATCCTCAGACTCTCTTAACCCTCCAGGTGAGAAAGATATTCCAGCTATGTTCTGTTACCAAGCAAATGTTTGACCCATTCTTCAGGCTGTGTTTTCTAATCAAAATGTCCTTGTTGTTTTAAACAAAAAATGACAAATTTCTATTAAATTATATAACAGTAACTTCAATATAGGAAAATATATAGTAACTGCATATTTAACTGTACTGTAAATTGTTTAACATGTTGGTCACGTCGTATAAATTAAGCAAAATGGTATCAGTTTTGATGACAATCTTAAATTACCTTCACAGCTGGGGCAACACTGAAATTTTTTATTGAGCAGTGGATGGAATATTTCTTTCCAAACAGATTGTATGAGTCTTTAATCACCTTGGAAATCCCTTCAAAACAGTAATAAATCTTGTTAACGACCTACTGTATCATTCAAGCATCATCTCGTATTTAACGGATGCTTACTTCTGTGACTCAAATGTACTGGTGAAAACCATGAGAGCGTCTTGTTTCTAAGGCACAAAGAGGGGAACTGGAGGGCATCTTTATTAGGAGGGAAATATGAAATTATAATTCTGAATGTTAATCAAACAATTAACCTCCATGTCCTTTCAACTCACCAAATAAATGACCATTCAAAATGCCTATTAATAAGAAGTCATGATCTCAACCCCATCAAATAATGTACACTTGGCCTTACACTGTGATGAATGGTAGGACACCTTTTATAAAATAGTGAATGAGACACTGTTCTTGCTTTCTGAAGAGAATATTAATAGATATGCAGTTTGACACTGTTAGCCCTCTGACACTGAGATTCACTTTAGCAGGGGAAAGTGAAGATGTGGGATGATTAGTAGTCAGTGGGAAGTGCCCTGAAAGCTCCGACTCTCTGTTCCTCTCTCGCTGACCCTTGCAACTCTCTGCTGGACCTGGCTGCCCAGTGGCCCTACTAATATATTTCACACCTGTCTCTTATTGTTACTTTTTTTTCTTGCACAGGACATTCATTTAGTCCTTTAAAATAAATTTCCATCTGATCTTTGCCAAATGCCCTTTGCTTGCCCCTTAGCCACTCTTGTTTAGCCAAAGCTACTAACTTCATTTACTATATTTGTAACAATTACCTGATCATGAGTAACTTCATGCTACCTAACTATCTGTTGCCCCATTGACAAATTGCACCATACATCAGGAGGGATAGGAAGGTGTAGCTTTGCTAGCACAGCTTAATTATCTCTCCTACTCTTTCCTAAATGCTACAGTACATTATGTGCTAAAGTGTAATGGTGCGTTTCTTTAAAGATAATAGGTGCTGATCGTCTGTGGTCTCTCAACAGCAGCTACACATTCTGTGATCCGTTGGCATAGAATCGGTTGAGACTGCACTGGTCATCACATTTTGCTCTTTGGAGAATAAAGTCACTGTGAAAATGGTGGTTTTGAGTGGAGTTACTTTCTGTGGGTTCCACTTTAGGTATAAATAATGCAAACATAGATAAATTAAACTGTAAAAACTTGGAGGGAATAGTTTGACATTTTGGGCAAATACACACTACAGTCTGACACATCAAACCCCCTCTCATGTTTTGAGTTTAAGGCTACAGGCCAGAGCCAGTTAGCTTAGCTAGCTAACATAAAGACTTGAAATAGTGGGGGAATAGTTAATCTGGCTCTGTCCAAAGGTTACATTTTATATTTTTATATGGATCAACACAATGAGATATTTAACCTATTGAAATTTCAAAGCAGTGGTAAGCAGATATTTTCTGTTTCCAGGCTTTGTGCTTTATGCTTTGTTTACTGTACAGACCCTTCTCATCTTAACTGCTGTCAAGAAAGTGAATAGACTTACTTCCCAAAATGCTAAAGGAGAAATGGTGTGTACAAATTTTAAATTGGTCTTAAATACAGATTAAACCTTGGGGAAAAATATAATGGGCAAAAATGACAAGTTAATGTTTGTATAAAGGAGCAGAAGGTCTGAATGAGAGGGCAATAGCGACTGGGTGAGATCGGCAAATAGTGGGTTTGGCTGTGGGAGAACTGCCAGGATAAATTCAGGGCTGAGGTGAAACAACACAATCAATTTGGGAGGCCGGAGCCGTGGACAAAAACAGATTTAAAGGTTAGGGTTGACACAGGGGTCAATTTTTACCCTGGCATAGGCGCTGCAGTGCTGATTCAGATTCCTGAAGTCTGAGTTGTTACTGGGGATGTCATTCACTTTTTGCAATGACTCAACAATCCCAGGCTGACTGGCAAACCCCTTCGTCGGAAAGAAAGGTAGACAAATTGAAATAATAGTTACTGCTTCTTTAGGTATAGTGGTGAAAGAAGTACTCAGATTGTTTACTTGAGTAAAAATACTGTTACAAGTAGAAGTACAAAAGTATTATAAATAAAAATATTTATAGCATTTAAAAAAAAAAAAAACATGCTTTTGCCATTCCAAAAAAAAGTGAATAAACAGGAACATTTAAAATCTGAGCAACAAACTCAGATGTTGCCAGTTTTTAATTAGTCACTGAGTGTGACAGTAGAGGACATAATCTGCAGCTGTTAGTTTAGAGAACTGGCTTTGAAGATAAAGAAAGAATCCTTAAGAAGCAGGATGCAGTTATTTCTGTGAGGAATCCTATATAAACAGAAGACCTGTTTTTTAATTTTGTCATTTTGAAGGCTGTGTGTACATGCTTGAGATGGCTATTTGGCTTAGAAAACACTAGAGGTGCACTAAAGCATTATTATTGATTATTGAGCCTATTCAATCTGAGACTTGTACACACCATCAGATTCCATGAGTCAGTACTGCTCACATGGGTAGTTTGCAACTTCATGCTTCTCAGTGGGAGCAATTGTCAACTGATGTGGATAGGGGAAGTCCTTTCCCCCACAGACCATCATTTTCTCTGCCCTGTATCAATGCAGGAAGGCAGGCTGCCCAGTAAATCTGCTGAGCACTTCTGCCTTCACAGGGAACTTTGCCATGAATCTGGGAAGCTGTCCAGACTGTGAGCCGTTTAATGGGATTTTCAAGATGTCCTGTCTTGTTTCTCTTGAGAATAACTGTAGTGCATCACAAAAGGTTTGTGTTTTTTCTGTTTCTTTGTCTTTTCTGTGTCACAAGTTCCTCTCTGTAAACTTTTATTTGCCAACTCATTAGCTGTTTCTTGTGATAATGGTCATTCAAGTTATGATCCAGTGTAGGTGATAAATTTGGATGAGAAAGACAAGCCTACTTTATGAAGAGCTTCATGAATGTATAGGTTATTAGTAAAACATTAATATAAAACAGTTTTAGATTAACAGCTTGCCTGATGTTTTTCCTTTTCCATGATAATTTAGTTTTGCATTTGTCTCTTTTACATATCACCAAGATGCTGTCAAACTTGAACCATTATCTAAATGAAAGCCTTATTAACATTAGCAACTTCTGACTTGATTGTATATTAGAAAATGAAAAATCTATTGCTCTTAATTTGTAACTAACATTTAACATTGTACTTTATGCCTTCAGACTTGATGGGTGATTGTCTGTGCTGCCTTGCTCTTTTCACTGGTTTGAAGTGAATGGGACTTCTTTGGAGGGGTCATGTATTTCTGTGCCACATCTGTATCAAAATGTGTCAATCAAACCTCATTAGGCCGTGCCCACACAGTCCTAATGATGCCAAACATGTTGTGCCAAAGCTTTATCCTTTTGATTGTTACTCATTTGGTCATGAATATTTACTGAATAGTTAAAAAAAAAATACTTATGATGGTAAGGCAGGTTTTCAGGGGCTCCAATGTGTGTCTTATTAGAATGTGGTACAGAAGAACACTTTAAGATATAAAATCATTAGATGAGACCTACTGTAATAAAGAAAATACAGCTATTTAATGACTGCTGCTTTGTTGTAATTATCATTTAAACACATGTTATGGAAGTTGAATGCTCAGTGCAAAATGCTGCCAAAGTGTCACCCACTGCCCACAACAGGGCAGATTAGAAAGATGTAAACCATAGTGATTACAGTTTAATTCAGAGTTAGGGTGTCCTAGTGCCCCAGGGTTGGTGGAAAGTCGACTGTAGTGGCTAAGCAAAAGGATCACAAAGGCTCTTCACAGGTCAGTGCTCAGCATGGAAACAAGCTGAACTGAAACGAGGATCGTCCTCATGTAATACGACAGGCAACTGCAGCGTGTTGATGATGTCAGTTCCCAAACACACAGCATCTCACAATAAAGAGGCATATGTCAGTGTTATAGGAGCTGACAAGGATCGGTGTGTGTGTGTGTGTGTGTGTTCTCCATGGTTACTTTTTAGAATCTGCTACAATGTGTGACAGTGCATTACTATGTTTGCATATGTTTTGCCCCTCTCGAAGCATTTAGCCTCTATGTGTGTGTATATGTCTTTCTATGGATGCATGGGCAAATATTAGTTCAAAGCCATTGTTGTGAGGATGTTTCTCCTTTCAGGACTTTTTGGCCAGTCCTTTCAACTTGAGAGAGCTGCAGAGTAAGACAGTTTGAGTTGGGTTAGAAGTAGGTCTGGTGTTAAGAGACATGTCTAGGGAATATATCCCCCCAGCCCTGGAAAGACAAACATATCCGTGTTTGTGTGTGATTTAAACTCACTATTCTCTGTTGCCGCTGCTTTTTTCTCAGCCTGATGAACTCCTTGTGTTGCCTCGAGACAAAGTTAACTGCTGCATACTCCAGCAGGGCAGCAAACACAAACAGAAGGCACACTGCCATCCAAATGTCAATAGCCTTCACATAGGACACCTGGGAACAGACAAGATCACATTGTCATCCACAGGAAATCAATGAGGCTGATGGATAATCTGTGGGTTGTTCACAATAGGCCCATTCTTCAGTTCTTGCATGTAATGACACACATCTTGGAGATGGCCTAGAATTGTAATGAGTCAGTGGGATGTGGGCAGTTGACATGTAGACAGGTCATGGCTAAGACCTGGGGGGAGCCCTGGTCGTGTTTCTCATAAGAGAAGATATGCCGCAGCACATCAGCAATGCCCAGTGAGCAAGCACTGTGGAGAAACTGATCAAACAAATGATTATTAAAATCAGCAGGATACATTATCACAGGAAATACAGCTGCCATGTTTTAACACTTGGACTGTATTACTTTTTATACTTCATCTGGCACACATCTTAGCTGTTTTTTTTTCCCTTACTACTTTTAAAGTGATTCTTTTTCATATTTCAGGCAGTTGCTTCATTGTTGGTAACCACTAGCATTAAAGCACAGAAGCAATAACCACCAGCAACCCAAAGGCACAATCTGTAAGCCACATATAAATGAGGGTAGCCCACCTACCAAAGATCAAAATAGATAACTGAAAGTGTCACATTATTTGAGACTATATCAGATACCAGAACTATACAGTATGTCTTGTATTATATTGTTCAGTATTTTTAGTGCTGTAGAACAAAAACACTCTAGAGGCTAAAAATGTACTTTACACATCTCGATGATAGAATCACTGGCAAAAAATGTACGTTTTGTAGACAGAGGTACAAAGTAATTTACACAGGTCAATATTTGAGGTCAGTACATTGTTTTTATGATCACTCACTCTAGCAGGACAGATGCATATTTTGACATATGAGTGTCCACAACAAAGAAAATGGATCCCCCCCAAAATGTAGAAGCCAGAGTGCTTTTTCAAAGTATAAAAGTTAACAGGCTTTTAACAGTGACAGTTTTGGTGGTGTCAGGGAGCAGTGGTGACCTTAAAGGCTAGAGGCCATCAGAGAAGCAGGGATGTGACTGGCAGGCTAAATCTAGACTGGAAAAGTGAAAGCTTGGCCCTCCCTCTCTACCACTACAGAGCTACAGCTGAGCTGAGCAAGGCACATAATGTGCTGCATTTTATAGATGCAAAAATTATAACTGCAGCTGTCAGTGATGATGTAAAATGATAATGATGATTATTAAGTGTCTAAAATCTCAATGTACTGCTCGCTGTTTAGTATCCATTAGGGAGTGGGGAATGAGAGAATGAGGGAGAGAGTCTGGTGACAAAGCGTGATTGTAGTAGTGGGAAGCGACCAGGTGTAAATAAATGTAACTCTGTGAACATGAGCATCGTGTTTCTTCGGAAAAGTACTGTTACTATGGTTACCTACAATCTAATATACCTTGTGCAATGATTTTCAGAACTTTGGACAAACTGTTGGCTTAAACTATCAAGGCATTACAGAACAGGTTTTAATAAGCACCTGTATGCCAGCCAATCAGGAACAAGAATTTGGCATTGTGATGGTAGGTATGTCCGTCACCTGCTCCCTAGCTTCTCCATACATTTTCTCCCCATATACAGGAGAGTTGTCTTTCATATGGAGTCCAATGTCCTGACCTGGCCCTTGTATTGTATTCTGCCTAATTAGACTCTATTTTAGTCCTTAATTAGGACCTCTATTGTGCAAAGTCCGCATTTCATGACTAAATACACACTAACAAGTCATCCTGGTCCAAAGCTCCCTCCAAATACTCTTTTACCCAACTCTGGAGGACACAAGCAGTCAACAAAAATTCATTGCAGGTCTGTCACTTGGTTCTAGGAGCAATTGGATTGGCTTTTGACAGCTTGTCAGGAAATATTAGGTATAAAAGGTAATGGTATTTCTAATCATGTATTACTTTTGGAGGTATATATCAGAGGGAAATGTCAGAATAGTGTACAAGTTTCAAACTTGGGTCATGCTACGTTTAATAATTTTTTTTAAAGTCATCGACCTCTCTGTGGAGCTGGAAGTGTTACGTAATGTGACCTCCTGTCATGTATACTTACATTTCGCAGGAAGAGCAGAATATGATATTTTAAGGTCAGTGGCATTGTCCTCCATTAGACACATCTTCAATAGCTAAACACTGACTTTGAAAAGGCACCTGGGTAAATACCCCATTAAAAGATGTAATGGTGCACAATTTTTCTGCTGTGGTGGTAATTTTGCAGAAGAAAAATTAAAGCATTCCTTGCCCCTACGGGTTCTTCCTGCTCTGTTTGCTCAGCAAAGATTGTGCCTGCAACAAACAATGTATAAGCCTTCATACATCTTGATCATTAGCCTCCAGACTCACTTTGGGAAGTGAGGCTCTGGAACCAGAGCTCTGTGTGGTCATTGTCAGTACGGTGGTGATGCCCAGGCCCACTCTGGCAGGTGCAGCATCCATATTTATCCAGAAAGAGACCCATGAGAGGATGACAATAAGGAGGGAGGGGATGTACATCTGGATCAAGTAGTAGCCCATTTGGCGTTCCAGGTGGAACTTCACCTCGATACAGGTGAATTTACCTGCAGACACATGATGTACAACATTCTATTGTCTTGCTTAAAGGAATAGTTCATTGTGTCTTGTTTATTTTATTTATTTATTTATTTTATTTTTTTTTTATTACAGAGTAGGCACAGTGGAGTAAAATGTACCCGTAAGACAATATATACTGTAGGTGAAAGGTTTAATAAAAATGTTGTCAGTCAACAGAATCATTAGTAAGTTATTCTACAAGCTATTCTGAAGAAGAAATCAGCTCAAGCAATCATTACAATCTGGGATATATTCTCATAACTTTTAATGGCATTCATAGTATACCTGTGTTATAAGACTTGGTGCAGTAGCCCAAGTCCTTCTCTTCTTTTAGCACAAACTGAGGGAGGGTCAGATCATCAGCCACCTGAACAGGGTTCTCAGGCAGCCACTCAAAGAACAAGTCATTCATGGTGTAACCGACTGTGGAAAGAGAACAGGGGGAGAGAGAGAAGGTATTTAAATAAATGAGAAATAATAAATGTGTAATATTTTCATTTTATTTTAAGTTGCTTTGAATAAAATAGACAATCTCTCATTTGTTCAAGTAAATTTTGGCATATCTTAGAAAGCCGATGAATCTCATTATTTCATCATGCATTTTACTGCTTTTTATTTTCAAGTACATCAAATGGCTGTTACATTATTCATTATTTTGGCCATTCACTATTGAAGATGCAACATTTACGACATGATAAATCTTAAAAATAAACATAGGAAAATCACAGTCCCATTACTGGTCATAGCCTCATAAAAACTGCACTCCATTATTTTCAACATTATGCTGATATTACTGCCGCTAGATGTTATATGTCAAAACAAAACGTTACACTGGTTACTGACTATAAGCGGGGATTGCATCAGTCTTGGGATATACTGCACATATTTGCTGTTGCTTTGTGTTCAATACAAGAATAACAAACACGATGCCGTTTAGATTTGAAAATATTGGTGAAAGTCAAGCAATGTACTGCACTATCTGCTAATAATTCTTATCCTCTTTATCTCTGTTGCTGTGATTCTCCTGACATTTTTATTGCGATCTTGTTACCATGGTAGAAAATGTGTGCTTTTTAAACATCAGGGCTAATGTTACTCGGGGGAGACCGAGAGGGATAATGAATCTTGGAGGACTGAGGTGATGTAATGTCTCTCTGCCCATCTGTTCGGCTACCCTCTGCCATCATGTTTGTCACAGTAAAGGTCACACACCACAGCTACAGTCGTGGTGTTGCAGTTGCTTGAAGGTTACAGAATGTGGGGGATGAGAAGCACATTTTCCTAGGACAGTGGGAGATACTGTATGTACTAACATACACCGAGCTGATTAGTGTATGTAACCTAATGAACTGCATGTGGGTGCATCAGCAAAAATGCACAGACTAACATAATGGAAAAAATATAATATATAGCGTCGGGTTATTTTTGAAGTGAATTTACAATTACTATAGCATTTACACACAACCACTCTGAAGAGGTTAGAAGTTCTTTTGCTTGCCCACTTGCAACACAAACATATAAGCTGCTGTTTGACATGATCTTTTGGGCTGTCCTCCTCCTTTCAGCTGCCTTAATATATTACAGGTGTATTAAAAATGCATGTCCCATGCAACAACAACAACAATGATTCCTCTCACATTTGAATAAAATTGATGCCTACTGGGACTCTTTAGGACCTGAGCTATAAAGACTTCAATTACTCAAAATGTTATACCCAATGCTGTATGCCTGGGAAAAAAAAACACCACTTAAACATACTTGTTTTGTTCAGGAGCAGAATTCATTGTCATTGACATATCCTGCTGCTGAAAGCAAGGGAAATACCAATGCTTTTTTTACAGCTACATCCATACTATAGGTTTTAATGTTAAATTCCGATCTTTTTTTCAGTTCTGATTTTTGTTCAGTGTCCCCTCCCAGGCTCCTTACATTTGTGAAGAGATCAGATCTGAGTCACTTTAAAGAGGAAAAAATCATATTTGAACCACTCCAGCATATAGTCTGAATATAACATAAGTCACATGTATCCAGCTCTGATTTGAACACTGTTAATATTTGATATGAAAAAATCGAATGTGGTTTGTTCACACATCTACTTAGTCACTTGGAGGGACAAAAAAAAAGATTTCGGTGACTTTGGCAGGTAATGTGAACATAAATTAAGATAATGAAATGGGCTTCTGTAAGTTACAGCTAAGCGACATCAAAACATAACTGACATAGTTTTCTATATTCAGTTAAAATTACGTTGATGAGGCATGTCAGGAATATTTTAGCAAGGCAGATTTATGGCAGCCACATGCAGTCTCCTTTTTCTTATGGAAAAAGCTCTTCACCTAATTAAAGCAAACTGTCTTGATGCAGCTATAGTTATGCTTTGAATTTACTGGCTTAATCTTGCTTCTTACTTATAGCATAGGTTACAAAGTGGATTTGAGGTGACTGGACACTAGTGGCTCAAAGCAAAGTGGTGAGGTGCATATATAGGACTTTGATGAGTCAGAATAAAACAGAATCTATTTATATATCTGTATAAGCCTGTGGCATGAAAGGCCAGAAAAGAAGATTGGCTTTGGCTCTCTTAAGCTCCAAAGAGCTATCTGTCTCTGTCTTCTGTTGAACAAACTGTTTTGCCACAGCTCCAGTAGCAGCAGTAAAAGTGGTAATGTCCACATAACACTGAACTTTAACCAAAATGATCACACCCTTGGGTGGTGTACTAGCACTTGTCAACACAGGCCCAAGTATTGTCAGCAGGCCTTTAATCAGAAATGATTACATCTCCTTTAATGACACTGTGATGTGATACACTTGCACTGTACCTGTACACTACTGCTTTAAGCACAAATCTGTTTGCCTTAAGTCCTAAAGATTAAAATGTCTGTAGTTTTTGTTCTTACAGTACATTGGCTGAAAAACATTCTGCACTCAATTTATTACTTTGTTTTTTAAAATCTATTTGTCCACGCATTAATTTGCAGAAGTAAATCATGCTGCCTCCAGTGCAATGAGGGAGTAACTAGCTCTATAAAAACCAAAACCTCTTGTTCTTATTAAATCAGATCAGGATGTAGCTATGGTACCAGTTTGATTTATTTGATTGTGAGAAATGCCTCTGAAACGGCGCAATGACTTCACAGATGGTGTGAGTCTGTCTTTTTCCCCATTTGCTAAACTTAAATTCTTTTGCCCATTTGGGTCACCTCTAGGCACAGGGGGTGGGTCACATATAATAAAAGAGACACAAAATTAAACTTTTATTATTTATATCCTGGAAATTGGTTTCATGAGGGCAGATACTATCTCTGCTAAAGGCAAGGAAAGACTGAAAAAGGAAAATATTATTTCTCTAACATTTATCACTATAATAACTTTTCCAGATTCATTTTGTACAATGACATATCTCAGTAGTTTTAATACATGTTCAGAGAATGTGAACAAGTAAAAAATGCTAAACAACTGACATTGCACGAGGTCCAAACGGTTGCTAACCTGTAAAGCTTTCTACATGACATAATCAGATTACAATAAAAATGGTGATGATTAACCAACTCAAAATTTTAATAATTACTGAAACAATGCCTAAGTGATTTCAGAAAGCAGTAGACAAAAGCAGGTTTGTCACTTTTAGTCTGAAACTGAAATGACAACTGTCTGTATCAGATTTTAAAAAAAAGTTGAAATCAATAACAATAATTATACATGTGACATTTTAAACTAGTGACATGTGTCAAACCATTTACATAAGTTTTACAACCTTGGTGACTTTAATAATTTACCTAGCTAACTAATTAAATTAGCTGAGCTATCTACAACAACAGAACACAGAATCAGTTTGCAATTGCTGATAAATCATGCTGTTCTCTACAGAAAACAATGTTTGACTTGTCTCTTGGAATATAGTGAGGGTAGATGCTGTGCAAGCTAGGCAAAAGGTAGAAAATGGAGAACTGAGGAGCAATTAAAATCAGGGAAGTGAGAGAAAAGGAAGCAGTAGCAAAGACTCACAGCTTTCAAGCTGCATGGTACAGGTCTGAATATCCATTGGGAAATTCTTCAAGTCCATAGGGCAGGACAGGGTAAGAGTCAGCCTGAGATAGAAAAACAGTTTGGAAGAGAGAAAAGGAGCCACAAAGTTAAAAAAGTTTGAGGAAAGGAGGGGAAATGAGGTTAACAGTGAAATAAATCTCTGGCAAGCTGATTTGCTGTTCAAATTATAAAACATGTCTATATGATAGTGTTCATTGCAATAAAATTGGACAATGCAAAAAAATCGAAATACACATTCTCCCAAAAAAGTGTAAATTGGAAAACATATTGAGTTACTCCGCCATCTAATTATTTGTCACAAACGGTAATATCAAAGTAACTGTGGGCATCCCTACTTCTATTTGTTTTGTGTTATGCTGCAGCCAGAGTGACAGGAACTAGCAAGAGAGATCATATCTCTCCCATATTAGCTTCTCTCCACTGGCTCCCTGTAAAATTCAGAATAGAATTTAAAATCCTTCTCCTAACATACAAAGCCCTTAATGACAAGGCTCCATCATATCATAAAGACCTTGTAGAGCCTTATCATCCTAACAGAGCACTTCACTCTCAGAGTGCAGGTTTACTTGTGGTTCCTAGAATCCACAGAAGTAGAATGGGAGGCAGAGCCTTTAGCTATCAAGCTCCTCTCCTATGGAACCAACTCCCAGTCTCAGTTCTCCAGTTGTCTGCGCATGCACCTCTGCCACTAGCTTGCCACTATTACACATTACTAACTTTGTGTCTCCTCTCTCCGATAGTGTGTCCTCTCTCTCTGTACCTTTCTGCAGGTTGCCCTGGCCCTGGAGCTCTATGTCTCTGACGAGCAGTCACCAGCCACATCGACCTGATCAGTGTTTGATTGTTGTGTCTTGTTGCTTTTCTTCTTTTGTCTCTCCTCTATCCACTCACCCCAACCGGTCGAGGCAGAAGGCCGCCCACCAAGAGCCGGGGTCTGTCGGAGGTTTCTTCCTTTAAAGGGAGTTTTTCCTCCCCACTGTCGCCAAGTGCTTGCTCAAGGGGGATTTGTTGGGTTTTCCCTATGTAATAATATTGATAACAGTAAGGTCTAGACCTTACTTTGTAAAGTGTCCTGAGATGACTTTTGTTGTGATTTGGCACTACACAAATAAAATTTGATTTGATTTGATTTGATCCCTACTTCTATTTGTTTTGGTGTTGATGCATTAAGCCTTCAGAACGCCTCGGAGAAGAGAGGGAGAGTGTGATTTGGAAGTCTGTCTGGTGGAAAGCTGCATAATTACCTGCTGTAATGCATCGCCCAGAGGCGAGACAAAAGCTGCTAGCAGTATACACATAAGCACCCATTTGCTACTGTGTTATAATGACACAATATCTTTTTCACCAGCTGAAGAACAAATACCCCAGTGATAAACTCTCCTACTATAGCATTGCCTCAATTGTGTCATGTATTTAAAGTACACAAAGATGTTTATTCCATAATTTCAAAACATAGTAAGCAAAACTAGAGGATACAGTAAGTCACTGGCATGAATCTTATTCTGAGAACTTGTCTTATACCATTACCTCTTTCAAAAGGTGTTGCCACTTTCAGTAAAAGAAATATTGAAAATTAAAAAGTGTGTAAATCATAGCTTCACTGATCAATAGAAATTACTGAAAAATTATTACATAAAATGTTTTATTACAATTTCAACTGCATTTTATAAACAATACTGGATATATTGGGTAAAATTAATGTGATTTAACAGACAAAATTACCAGTTTGGATCCAAAACAATGTATTTCACCCTATAAATGTGCCAATATTGTACTCAAAACAAAATGCTTGCACACCTTTAGGCCGCATGCACCTTAGTTAGCATTGCATGTGACTATATGTGAGTGTGTGTGTGTATGTCATGATTTTTAGAGCTGTCTGCAAACTTCCATTCATGGTAAAGTGTCAAAAACAAAAAGTCTTTAAAGACTTGTCACAGCAAGTCTGTGCAATTTTTCCCTTTTCTGCGCCCTTTTAGTATTTTTGATAACCTACAGTGCACCTAAGTGAGCAGAAAGGTGCACTAGGGGTTGCGTGAATGGCAGTTCAGCAATTTACTGCAACTATGGTCAAGAGGTCATATATGAGTTGTATCTAAACCGGGGGTGCTGGAGCCAATCCCAGCTGACATTGGGCAAGAGGCGGGGTACAACCTGAACAGGTCGCCAAGCTATCACAGGGCTGACATGTAGACAAACAACCACACAAGTCATACTCACTCCTAGGGGCAATTTAGAGTCGCCAGTCAACCTAAGATGCATGTCTTTGGACTGTGGGAGGAAGCTGGAGTACCCAGAGAGAACCCACACAGGCACAGGGAGAACAAGCAAACTCCATACAAAAAGGCACAGGCTCAAACCCGGAACCTTCTTGCTATGAGGCGACAGTGTTAACCACTGGTCTGCTATGCCACCCAGAGATACACTCATGTTTTCAGCTATATTTTCACTTTATTTGGCAGAAAAGTGTCCATATAGAGCAGATGTATATATTTAAAGGCAATAATATATCATTTCTTTTGTCATTATGGCAATAATAACAAGGCCGTCTGCATTGAGGTCCAAAGTAACATCTATCTTCATCATCTTATTTAAGAGAATTGCTGCTCAGGGTATATTTTGAAGTAATCTTTAAGTATATTCACAAAGTATTCATTCTGTGTATTTAGCAGTAGCCTTCCACCATAAGACAAAGATGATCTGAATAAGGCAAAGCAGTCACTCTGCAGCAGCATTTATGCTTCAAAGCTGAGCCCTTGATTAAGCCTCTGATGTCATTCTCTGACTGACATAACAGCACTCAGCAGCTCTGATGTTTAACTTCTGGGATTATTATCTTTAGTTACCTGATGCTGTACAGAACACTGCCATCTTGGAAAATCCGTAGCAGCTTGTTATCGGTGGTGACCTCGTGGAAATTGGCTCCTTTCTCATTTGCAAAGAATAAATCAGGTTTCCAGATAGAGTCCAACATGGATGGATCCAGATCAAGGGAGTCGTCTGGGTATTCGCTGTACGCCAAACGAGGGTCATTCCACATTTGCCGTAGAAATACATTGAGCCTGTAGTCCTGTGGAAGAACTCAGGGTGTTTAATGGAAAGTATATTATCAGTGGAGTGTGGTACAGATGGAGAACTGAGAAGTGGAGTTTCTGAGAATGATCTGATACTTGGAGTTCATTCTTGTGTGAATTTGTTGTACTCTATGAAAGATGGAACTGTGGCAAGTCACTGTGTTTAGATGTAGTTTCACTTTAAAGTCTTGATTAATTTCAGCTACATGAACCTTAATTTTGTGTGCAAGGATATAATGCCTCACAGCAACAAAACAGACTATGATCTGCATGTGTCTATGTCCAAATTCATTGCTGACAAGTATATAACATATTCTGTTTCATTACTGGGAGACTGGAGCTGAGCAGCATCATGATGTGTATGTATTCACTTGGTCTCTGGGGACACAGGTGGTTGATTGTGAATAGGAAACTAGAAAATAAGTGGCGTACTTGTTTCAGAAAAAAAAAAAAAAAAACAGTTGACGTTAACACCCGTCATGAGTGGGCACCAGAGTTACACAAAATAATCCATCTTTATAACCAAACATCATAATTTAGGACAATAAAAGTGTTGAATGAGACCCCTCATTCATCACATTTGATTGAAAGTAAGTGACTGAGGTCTTGTGCAGGTGTATGTCTTTCTACAAATCTAGCTTTCTCTCAGCATTTTGGCCTTTCATTGACACACAAACTGCATTTTAGGTCACTGAAAATAGATCTCTGGAAAACTCCTTCCTAGGTGAAGATGTTCAAAAATCAGTTTTCACTTTTAACATGAAGACAGAGAAAACTGCGTTTTTAGCTTATTAACGTCAGTGCGCATATTTCATTTGTTTGACATCAGAATGTGCAACGTTATCCCCTTTGTTTAAGAGGGTGATATTTACTGTGCAGTGGCAGATGTGGCCAAACTAGTGATGGTAGTAACATTGCTAACTGGGCTTTTATCATCCTTAGACTTACAGTACATGTACATAAGCCTGAATAAGATGGTGTACTGTTTGTCCAACCACTGCATCCATGTGCTGCTGGTGCACAGAGGTGTGACAACGCAAACCAGGTTAAGGACAAGTACTGAACTCAATCCCTCCTGCCTGCAGCCAGCACGCACAGGTAATCCAATTAGAATTCTAATCTGTGCAGTTAACTTAGAATTCATCTTTGGGCATTGTAGACTATTAATGTTTTTGCTTGTTCGCTCCATTTGTCAGAATAAAAAGCATGTTTCACCAGCGTGTCCAATGACATCATTAGTGTTGTCATTCTCTAGGATAAGACGACGAGAGGTCAGGCCCTCTGGGTCTACCTCGGACACCTTTAAACAGTTCACTGCTGTATTGTGCTGACCCAGCAGTAATAGGACTATAAATACAGACCTGAGGGCAGCTGTTTTTCCCTGAACCCCTTGTCCTCTCTTCCGTCCCCCTTTTCATTCATTTTCTCAGTTTTTCATTTTAATTGCAGAGTGGACAGTTTATTGTCAGCATGTCAGTGACCCATTGTTCTCGGGAGGTTGTAGTGCAACGCTCCAGGAAACACAGAAACAAGGGAACAGCTTCCCATTGAGTGGATTAGAACTCAAGTTGGTAGGTAGAAAATGGAACCGAGTGTTTCATGATTCTGGTACAAATCATGTGAGATCCAGTACAACTAAAACAGTAATCTAGAAAAATTACACAGATTTTTGAATGTAAATGCCTGATGTTTTTTCTGTTTTGGAGAAAACATTTTCATTTCTAATATGTGCAACATTTGAAATGTCCAAGGTCGTCTTACCATTGTGGTTTCTGTGATGGACCCAAAGCTGTTGATGAAAATATTACAGGTGACATTCACAGCTGGTCCTGAGGGAAGGAAAAACAAACTTAATTTACTAGTCTCTTGCTTTAAATGGGATTTATGATATCACTTGTGCCCCCATTAAAATGCCTCTCACACCGCAGCAGTTTCTTCATTTCTTTTCCTTCTCATATTGTGGCTGTAACTGAAAATGTCGACACAATGCAAGTCTTACCAGCTCTACTGTCGGAGAGCCTGCTATTTAAAGGCGCTCGAAGAAATCACATTTCCTCTTCAGGCCTGTCCATTCAAGTGTAAATACAGCTAAAAAAAAATGTAACTTACCGAAATCAAATTCAAAAAGAAGATAATACTAAAGGGGAAAAAGGGCACACAGATGTATCCACCAAAGATTTGGCACAGTGTCTGAGAAAATCACTGTGCAACCATGTCTTCTAGAAATATACTAATATGCTACTTTGCAACAACAAATATTGAATTTCTGAACAAACACCTGAATTTCTGCAAATGCATTTCCATAATTTCAGTAAAAACATTAAATTAGTTTGGCACACAATGTGCTGGAAAAAGCTCTCACAACACAACTTGTTTTTTAAGGTTATATTTAATCACTCAAAGCATCTGGTTAAGGGAAACCTGATGGTCTTGGTTTATAGCTGAAACAAAAAAATTTGATTTATCTAAAAAATAATATTCAACTAATCAATTAATTCAATAGCAAAGAGACGGCATGTGTTTACTTTAAGATTTGACCATGGTCTTTCTGTTAAGTGCAAATCAAGCAGCTCAAAAGCATGAAAGGTTTGGACACTGATCACATAAGAGACAAAATGGACAAAGACATACTGTACAACAAACACACAGTCAACCTGGAACACAAATGTCAGTATTAGATATGAGGCTGACCAGAACTTCAAATTTGCGATTAATGGATCTAGAGATGGCTTTGTCATAGTCTATGTACAAATCCAGTCGCTTTCTTTCTTGCAACTAGACCAAAGTGTTTCTGATGTCCAAATCTAATCACATGCAGGAACCCAGTGTTTAAAGTTTTACACTTTGTGTAGCACTTCCCGTACTGCAAAAAATGCTGCAATAACAGGCAGCAATTAAGCCCATGTTTCTTTAAAAAGTAACGAGCTAAACAAACGTAATAGTATATAAATGTTATTTCTAAGAGACAGAGTTCCAGTGTGTTTGGTTTCACACAGTACTGAACCCACACTACTGCGTGAAAGCAAACAGGGTGAAAACGAGGACAAGCTGATCCAGTATGTGTGAACGACATAACATACAGCATATACACAGGAGAATGGTCAACTGTAGCTCTCACAACACAGATCCACTGTCATTTTTTTTTTCTAGTGCTTGTGCTTTCTGCTGGATTTTCTTCAGGGCTGCTGTAATGGTCTGCCATTGCATATACTGAACCTTTGAAGTTGGGTCTGATGCGGGCATCATATCCCGATGTTTTCCCCATGAGCTTGTCCAGGAAGTCAGAGGGCGACAGCTGTGGTCCTGCCCTGCTGGGGGGCTTTATCTCCTCCTTACAGGAGCTCAGTCTGATATTACCCAGAGACAGGGAGAACAAATACAGAGAAAGAAAACAGTAGATTTGAGAAGCAGAAGAAGAGGACTGTGTGTTTATGTATGAGAGGTAGCAGTGAGGGTGGTTGGAAAAAATAATGAGAAGCCAACAGCTATCAGCAAGTCGATGGTGGATGGGGAAATGAGAGTGAAAAATGCCCACTGGATTACCTGCTTACTGTGGTTGTTAGCCCTTTAAATGCAGAGAAACAAAACAGAAACAGAGGTAAACGTGTCCCTCTCCTGTGCTTCCTGCTGCTCATGGCTTAGCAGGAGTAAGGCTTGACAGATTGATGGCTCAGTTGTAATGCTATGACTGTCACAGTGGGCAGAGGAAGGAGTTGATGCAAGCTCCAGTGAGGCTCAGGCAGCCACTGACAGGAATAACCAACAGACCAGAGAGAAATTAGAGATAGACTGAGAAAAATTTAAGAAACAAAGAAGACTCTCTTTAAGCCAGGCATAATAGATCAGATTTTTTTTTTACTGGCCCCTGCAGTAGTACAGCTGATTGCACCCCATGCACTGATACAGCTGTTAACAGTTCACAATCTGTCATGATTTGAAACTCTAGCGTACAGATGGCGGGTTCAGTCTCCTCCAAGGCAGAGCTTTGCTGGTGCTCTGTGTGTGTGGAGCCAGTCACTGATCCCCTAGTCTCACAGCCACTTAGCTGTTTTTACAGTCACATAAACTGCATTGTCAGGGGGGCTACAGGATGAGAAATGTGTGGATGTTGGTTTTGGGATTTCAAGAGAAAAGCTGAGCTGATCCTGGGAGATCTTCCATTTGAAATTGTGTAGAGTATGCAGTTGGAAAGCATTTGAAAATAAGGCAGGTGAGGTGATTGCTATTGTGACTACTTCAGGGTTACATTATGAAGTTATTGTGTAATGTGCTATTGTATGTTGCAGAAAAATGCTAATGTAAATGCAAGCCTCTGCAAGAACCTACAGTCCTACATCGTACATCTCTACACATTAAGAGTCAGGTCCCTTGTTGTTGTAGCATTCTTGAGAACATATTATACATGCATCACTAGTCCTTTCCAAATGCAAATGACAGTTATTCAAGATTGAAATGCCATCACTATTCTTAAAGTTTGGTTAGGTTTAGACAACATCTATTTGGTTTTGATAAGGAAAGAATCATGGTCATAGTTAGAAGAATACAGTTTTGATTGTTGGTACAGTACAACAATCTACTCCCAAAAACCCACTTGGACCTTCTCATGTAAGAGGCTTTGCAGCACTACGTCAGTGTGACACCATGAGTGTCTTTGCTCTTAAATAGACCAGAGTCATAATTTACAGGACCACAAGTCAGTAAATGTAAACATAGGTTGGTTTCTGGTTAGGATAGTATTCTTATTAACCTGTTATCATGTCGTGAAGCCCCCACAGCTGAGGTGTGTTCCAACTGCATACTGTACCTTGTTAATGGGAAGATTTGTGTGGAGGTGGTAATTATGAATCATGCTGTTTTGCTCAGTTCAAAGATTCTTAGTAACTGACTGTGTTTAGTTCACTTTTAGTTCACTAGTTCACTTTTCCCTAAGCTAAGAGATCATACCCCTGCTTGGTGCGTACAAACAGTAGAATGAACTACACCAGTCACATGGCTGTGTCCTTCAGTAGTACATTCACTACGTTGCTGGGTGAACCTGTTCAGTTCAGAACGAAACTAGGGCTGTACAGCCACATGAAGATATTTGTGACTACGTTATCACATCATGACTGTTTCTGTGGCTTTTGCTGTCTTTTAATATGTTTTTGACAACAAAGGAACTTCCTGTGACTCAAATCACAGACTCAAAAATCAAAAACTGAAAATTAAAAAATAATGACTCTTGACAGAGGTAGTAGTCCATCCATCCATCCATTTTCCTCCGCTTATCCGGGACCGGATCGCGGGGGCAGCAGTCTAAGCAAAGATACCCAGACTTCCCTCTCTCCAGACACTTCCTCCAGTTCCTCTGGGGGAATGCTGAGGCGTTCCCAGGCCAGCCAAGAGACATAGTCCCTCCAGTGTGTCCTGGGTCTTCCCCGGGGCCTCCTCCCGGTGGGACATGCCTGGAACACCTCCCTAGGAAGGCGCCCAGGAGGCATCCGAAACAGATGCCCGAGCCACCTCAGCTGGCTCCTCTCGATGTGGAGGAGCAGCGGTTCTACTCTGAGCTCCTCCCGGGTGACCGAGCTCCTC